ATATAAACAACTATCAAAAGATACAACAATCAGTAAGCACTGTTTTTCCACAAGAAACAAATAGCATCCAAAATATACTACTATTGTCACGACCCGGGAGCAACCCCAAGTCGTAACAAGGCGTACTCGATCCCGAAGGGGTCTTATACAAGCCACATAGTCATTCATTGCATTCAATAATGAAAATAGTGCGGAATAATAAAAAAAAAACTTATTTACATCCACACATTTAAACTTCTTAAAACAACTTTAAAAACACACAGCGGAAGTCTAAGTCTCACATGACCATCTTAGACACAGTCGCAAAACATAAGTAGGGACACAGCCCTTTACAATCAAAAGAAGTCTATTACATGAACAAAAGAACTTAAAAGTCTTGTCCTCGAATCCATGAGGACATACCAAGTCTTGGAGGAAAGCAATCCAACACTTCAAACTAGCTATGAGGGATCACTTGCCGGAACCTACACTTATAGTAAAAATATGAAGAATATGGGTTAGTACACAAAATGTACTAAGTATGATGACCATGCAAAACATGCTTAAAAAGGGACATTTTAGTTAGAAACCATGCATTATGCCACCTTTTTGAAATATCATGAACAATAGCATAAAAGACATACAAGACAAGCATAACATCAAGTTAAGTCATAATATCACCTTTAAACAATATCAACATGAAAACCTTTACCTTGGACCTTCACCTCAAGAAACCCTTATGCTATACCTCGTGCAATGTATGGATGACGTCCCATACCACCATCCATACTAAGGCACCACATTTAGGTCACTTAAAGTAACTTATCATTCCTTTCTTTCACCTTTGCACAATATTCATACATAAGAGGTATATCATTAATTAAGACATGACAAGGGAAAATAACTCGTAATATAACCCAAGTATAACATGCATAACATATTAAGCATTTAAGAGCCAACATTCTTTAATAACCTCATTTAGGGTACATTCATGTCACAGTCATTAGGATTTAGAGAAACTCACTATGACCCTCTCCAAGCCTACTCGTGTAATGTATAGGTAGCATCCCATATTACTACCTACACTTTGTAGAACCTGTCAAGAAACCATAATGAAATCTCACATGATGGGAAGTAAGCGTTTAACCGACATAGACCATGAGAGCTTGTCATGGAATCCGGTGTCATGAATCCCCACACCGAAAAGAGGTGGTCTACTTGCCTAAGAAAGACCGGTATATATAGCTTAATGGATCCACTAGCTTCCTATGCGGGCACATAGTTTATGGGATAAGGTAGACGATCATTGAAACTCATGCCTAACTGTCGGGGGAGTTTCCATCTAACCAAATCCGCTCGGTGCTTAGCCTACATTCCCATAGAATAGTTCATTACTTTGACATCATCACACATGAAAGAGTGCCATAAGCCTACCGATTCAAGGTACATTATTTAACACATGAAAGGGTGCCATAAGCCTACCGATTCAAGGTATATTATTTAACACATGAAAGGGTGCCATAAGCTTACCGATTCAAGGTACATTTAGGAAAACTCATTAACTCCTCTTGAAAGGGTGCCATGGGCCTACCGATTCAAGTCTCATCATTAACCTTTATGGAAAGGTGCCATAGGCCTACCGAATCCAAGGTTCATTACTTATCATTAATGGAAGGGTGCCATTAGCCTACCGATCCAAGGTTCATTATAAGCATGTGTGGAAGGGTGCCATAAGCCTACCGATCCAAGGATTCAACAATCAACAATATAATCATTTATACAAGAAAATGATGCATAAGCCCTACCAATTCAAGGTATACTTTATATTGAAGAATCTTTCATATTATATCATCAACATTCATGAGTGTCATCAACACATCTCTGGATTTCCATACATCTCATAACTCAAACTTTAAAGCATCGATTCATCAATTCTCCATAGTTGGACATTTTGTCAAACACCTTGAAGACATGTAATGGAATCAAAGAGCATGGAAAATAGGGTAGTAATTATGCAACCAAACCAGTGAACAACCTACAACAACACATTTACATTCATAACATGATCACATTATCTTCATTGAATTCTCATTCGTATAATGTCATGGTAACACTCCAATTTCTCATACTATGCCTTTAAGGCCATAAGCCTCACATACCAATACACCAACAATACACCATAAAATAAGCATGGGTAATGACATACTTCAACAATCTAAAGACCTTTAAACAAGTTTGAATCATATACATTCATTATCTAGCAACCCACTTCATAAAGGCATAAACTAGGAATAGAGAGAAATCATGGGTTCATGGAGTATTTTCATCTTAAATCGTCAATACAACAACAATATAACCATAAAGTGCCATTAGAAACCTTTTAAAACCATTTGATGGAAGAACCCATGAGATTGAGTGAAAATCTAGATTTTTCATACTTTGAAGTAACTTTGGATTTGGCTCCTTGAATGGAAAATTAGACAAGGATCAAGACCACCATACCTTTGCTATGATCTCCCACGAAAATTGATGAAGACACCACCTTCAAACCAAGCCCTAGCTCCAAGTTCTTGACTTTCTTAAATGGAGGATTGTAGAGAGGGAAATGTTTTTAGGGATGGGAATGAACTAATGGTATATAGGAAATAATATAAGTCCTTTGAAAAAAATGGTCCAACACATAGAAAAATTTTCAGGCGGGTGAACAGTAATGAACAGTAAAATTAGCTACTGGAATTTGCATTTTCTGTCGGACAGACTTTACGAAAATGGGCATAACTTCTTCGTCCGAACTCCGAATGAGGTGAAACGAAGTGAGTTAGGTAGCTAACTCAAAGGGCTTTCCATGGATATATTATTGGCCACCCAAATAATTTGTGTGCTAGGAGATATGACCCTCCAAAGTAGACACTCGAAAAAAGCTTCACTTGGAAATTTCGGATTTTGATACGGTTGCTCTAAAATTTGGGTTAGACCCATTTCCCACTCAATTTGACCCCCTAAACAAGAATATGAAGTCGGATTTTCGAAAAACGAAACGGATCTTTTAATATACAGCTAAACAAGTTTCCGATAACTTCCGAAGCACATTTTTAAGAACTTTTGGGTCAAATTCAAATATAATCATTTCATTAAGTTCTCGACTCCAAACTCACATGTGAGGCTCTAGTTTCACTCTATCATTTTCCGAGTCGTTACAACTATAAACAAACGTCATTAAAGACATTGTAGCACATTACTATCAATACACTAGTCTGTATCTATTTCTTCTTCGAACTCCTCATCATCCTCTTCAGATTCATTCTCAGTTTCATACTCATCTTCTGTAAATTCTTCATCTAATTCATGATGCTCTGGAAACAATCCATAATCAATTGGTTCATCCATTTCAATTGCCTCCCCATTTGGATCATGCAGAAGTATAGTTTCATCAACAATAATATTCATATCTATCTCATGAACTTCAACTTCTTCAACTTGAAATGGAAGATTTGGTTCTGGTATTGTGATCACTCCCTCATCAGGTAATTCAATGACATCTCGAGGGTTGACTTTTAATACAGCTAACCAATCATCCTTGTCCTTCTTTGTGCTAGGATAAGACATATAACACACTTGAGTTGCTTGCATCGCAAGAATAAAAGGTTCATATTTTTTAAATTGGCGACGATGATTAACATCGACCAATTTATACTGATTATGCACCTTAACACCAATATTTAATGCCGGATCAAACCATTCACACTTGAATAACATAACTTGCTTTAAAGGTGCTCTACGGTATTCCACTTGTATAATTTCTTGAATCCTTCCATAGTAATCACCCGTATTTGGATCAGAGATACAAACTCCACTATTCATTGTTGATCTTGCACTACCGCGATGTACTGTGTGAAATTTGTATCCATTAACAAAACACACTGGATAAGAATACACACTTATTAATGGTCCATGAGCAAGACTACGCAAGTATTCATTTTCAATATGGTTGGATCGAACCTATTTAAAAAAAATATGATAAGATTTAGTCAAATTCACAAGACAATTCGACACATTATATTTTAAATGATAGTGATGATTTAATTAGGCTTACATATTCCTTGAACCATACAGAAAAATATGTTTCGAGACTCTCATCTATTTGATCTTGAGAGAGATTCGGAAACTCTTCTTGCAAACGTTGCACATACATGCTTCATTGCAACAAAATAAGTCAAAAATAAATTCATAATATATGGACAAATTTATTATATGAAAGAAGTATAACCTTTTAAATTTTACCTCACAAATGGCTCAACCTCTTGACAATTTAGAAGAATATAAGTTTGGGCAGCCGTAATTTCCTCAAGAGACAAATCTCTCTTTTTGGCTTCACCCGATAACCTTCCTGGATGGGTGAATATTGATAAATTTTCTTCATCATCTTTCATAACACCACCATCATCATTACGGGACACATTATGATGACGTGACATAACATGAGGTTCAAAATAATGAGAAAAGAATTGTGTTGATTCGGCCATCAAGTATGCTTCACAAATAGAACCCTTAACACTAGCTTTGTTGCCTATCATATTTTTAAGAGTTCGAAGGTACCTATATATGTAAGAAATTAAATTATCATATTGAACTAGCATATTGACACTATATAACTGCATAAATATTTCATATTTACCTCTCAAAAGGATACATCCATCTATATTGTACAGGTCCAGCAATTCTTGCTTCATATGGAAGGTGCACGGGTAAATGTTCCATGGAGTTAAAGAATCCAGGAGGGAATATTCGTTCTAACTTACACAAAATTTGTGGGATGTGTACCTCTAATCTCTCTAAGTCCACCTTTCGAAGAACAGTTGAAGTTAGATCTTTAAAAAATAAACTCAACTCTGTAAGTGCTTGCCACACATTACTAGGAAGTAGCTCACGAAAGGAAATTGGCAATAGTCGTTGCATGAACACATGGCAATCATGACTTTTCATCCCAAATAACTTAAATTTGTCTGTGTCAAGGCATCGACTCATATTTGAAACATACCCATCTGGAACTTCACACCTTCCAACCAATCAAACAAGACTTTTTTTTCATTCTTGTCTATTGTATATGCAGCCTTGGGATAGCTTCCATCGGGATTTCTTGCTAACTCTGGCCGATTGCAGTATTTTGCAACATCCTGACGTGCTTTGGGATTGTCTTTGGTTTTGCCATCAACATTAAGAACTGTATTAAATACATTATCAAAGACATTCTTCTCAATATGCATGACATCAAGATTATGCCGTATCATATTAGAACTCTAATAAGGCAAATCCCAAAAGATGCTTCGTTTTTTCCAACCACATGACTTACATAATCTCTTATTAACTTCTTCAGCATCTAACTCAGTTACCTTCCTTATCCCCAACTCACAGATTTGATTAAGAATTTCTTGTCCCGTTCTGACAGGTGGTGGCGATCTTGTAACAGTATGACCTTTAAGAAAGTTTTTACGATCTTTCCTAAATGGATGGTTTTGATCAAGAAACATCATATGACTGTCAAACCAAGTTGTTTTCCCACCATAATGTAATCTGAAGGATTGTGCGTCCTCCATACAATAAGGGCATGCTAAATTGCCACTGGTACTCCATCCTGATAACATAGAATATGTTGGAAAGTCATTGATAGTCCACATCAAAGCTGCTCTTAATTGAAAATTTTGCTTTTTGAGATGTCAAATGCTTCTACACTTGTCTCCCACAACAAAGTCAATTCTTTTATTAGAGGTTGTAGATAAACATCAATTTTTTGCTTAGGATTGTGTGGCCCTGGAACAATGATAGTTAAGAACATGTAAGCTTCTTTCATACACATTCTCGGAGGTAAATTGTATGGAGTAACAATCACTGGCCAAGAAGAGTATTTTCTTCCCGATTGAGCAAATGGTTGAAAACCATCAGTACATAACCCTAACCTCACATTCCTTGGTTCATCAGCAAAAAAAGAATGAGTTTCATTGAAGTGCTTCCAAGCCTCAGAGTCTGATGGATGACGCATTACCCCCTCTTCTTGTATATGCTTATGATGCCATCTCATGTCGGCAGCTGTAGCACGAGATGCATATAACCTTCGCAATCTAGGAATAAGAGGAAAATAATACATTCTCTTGTAAGGAACCAATTTTCTCTTACGAGAACCAACTTGGCGTTTATACCTCTCATAGCCACAAAACTTACAAGATGTTAGATCCTTATCATCATCCCAATACAACATACATCCTGAATTACAACAATCAATCTTTTCAACAGGTAAACCCAAGCTACGCACTAGCTTTTTGGTCTGATAATAATTATCCAACACATGATTACCTTCAGGTAAAGCCTCTTTAAATAGTTTCATCATTTGATTATAACCCCTCTGTGACAAAGTGTTCTCCATTTTGATATTTAACATCCTAGAAACTAATGCGAGTTGAGAGAGGGAAGAACCAGGATACAATTTTCTATCAGCTGATTGTAGCAAATCATAAAACCTTTGTGAATCAGGATTAGGTTCCTCTTCCATTGAAAGATCAGGAACTTCCTCCATTGAAGGTTCATAATGATAAGATGACTCAGGTTCGATATTTCTATAACATTGCGAAGATGAACCCTGGCCAAAATTTGATCCAGCCGCATCCAAAACCATTTGGCGATATGGATTATCTCCCAATCCAGGTTGAGTACCACCTGGTAAATCACTAGACATCTCACTAATCACTTCTTTTTCCCCTTGATACTTCTAAACAAAATAGTTCTCAACAAATCCAAAACGAAAAAGGTGCAGTTTAACAGTTTCAATATCCATGTAATTAATGTTGTGACATTTTTTACATGGACATCTAACTTCGTCACCACTCATGTGATTTCTGTGAGAACATGCAAACTTGAGAAAGTCATTGACACCAGTTATAAAACTAGAATTAATAGCTCCTCGACCATCCAACCTCTCGTACATCCAACTACGTTTTAGATTATTCATACTCCTATTTAATGTTAGAATAAACAAGATAATTAGAGTTATCCAAAAAATTAGAAATAAAGCAATAACATAATAGTTTAGCAAAAACAATTGAAACCACAAAAAAAAATGACAAGCAAAAGTGTCAACAAAGATTTAAAACTTTAATAGAACACAAAACATGTTAGAACGCAACACCAATTAGTTATATAAACCATTTAGTCAACAGGTTCTGAAGGAATAAAAAGTTGTAGTTATACATAACCTATTATGCTTTTGCTTGTAATCAAAGAGGAAGAGATTTTTTCGACTCATACAATTTTGGTGATAGAGATTTTCATTTAAATGTTTGATTTTTATATAAAGAAATAATACAACAAAATGAACAAAAGGCAAGCAAGTAAGTTTATATATAGTCGTTATTCTTAAGATTTTCTTCAATAACTTGTTAACAACTTTAACCCAAACCCACATTAAAAACAATTTTTACTGTATTAAACCATAATTCTTAAACTTGCAACAATTGGACAATTCAACCAATTACTCAAGTAAAAGGTAATGAAAGGAAACGACAATCAAATGAAGAAGAGGAACACAAATTCATATACGACATCTTGGTTGAGTTCAAATACAATACATATAAATTATTGTCAAAAGAAATACATATGAATAGAAAAGTAATATGAACAGAAAAGCATATAAAATAGAGATACAATGAAATATATATAAAAAAATAGACTTACTTGTGAATTTAAAGACTTTACCTAAACAAATCTTCAAAGACTTTACCTTAAATTTCTTTGAGATTCAGCCAAATCTGTAAATAAAATATCAAATATGTGAAGAAAATTGAAAATGTAGAAAAACAATACCTTTTGATTTACAAAGAAATATGAGGTTTCGGAGTTAAAATTACCTTTTGATAAACCAGCAACGATGAAGCAGTGTCCAAGAAGTAGCGACAAATTTTCAGCAACAATGAAGTAGCCTTAAAGCAGTAGCAAAAAGTTTCCAACAATGATGCAGCAACACTTGATTTCACGCAGTGATGAAGCAACTTCCAAGCAACAACACCTGATGTCCAGCAACGATGAATCAATCATGTTGTCGTTACAAGAAAAAAATATGGGTATTCACTTTTAGAGACTGAATCATAGAAAACATCAAAATCATTGTTACAAACAGAAAATAGAACATACGAGAGAATGAATCAAAATGTTACAAACAGAAGAAAAAAAAGAATATAGCAATATATATTCAAGAAAAATCTTATATTATCCTTACAATGTTGTCCCGAATTCATATGTAATCATTATTACTTCCTCTTGTGTTGTCTCTGATAGCTATAGTTGTAAGAGAAATGTTTTAAAAGAATAAGAATCGTCATTGACTAGAGAGGAGGGGTTAAGCTCTATAAGTAAAACTAAAGACAATGAAATAAATCTTACTTAGGAATATATACAAATCAAGCAGAAAGCAAATCCCAAAAAGAGTCAGCGAGTGAATACAGAACTCAAATCTTCACAAAAGCAATACATAAGAAATCAGAAACAACAGTTCCAAAATCTTTTTGCTACACTATCACTTGAATTCTTACATTACAAACAAAGTAGAGCTTACTGCTAAATTGTTGTTCTACAAGTAAAATAGAAACATAATAGAGCTGAAATAGAGAGAAAACTTACCTAAATTTGTGAAATTTCGATCTTTCACTTCATCAAACTCAACTTCTTCCAAAATCTACAAACTTTCACTTCACAGAGAGTTTTCTTACTGAATGGTGGGTGGGTCAGCGAGTGGGTGGGGAGCGATGGGAGGTTCCTCTGTGTGAGAGATGTTTCTCACTCTCACACACTAAGTTTTTTCCATTTTCACGGTGAGTGGGAAATGAGGGATGAGAGGTTTTGTTTGTGAGAGATGAGAGGTAAGTTTTTGTCTGTGAAAATGAGGGAAAAGTGTTAAGTTGAGAGGGAAATATTGGAGCCCTAAAAAATTTGGGTAAAATTTAGTGACGATTTTAGCGACGGATATTCATTTTGTCGCTAAAATATTTCTATATAATTTAAAAGAAATTAGCCAACGACCAAATTTTTTGTAGCAAGAAATAAAATAACACTAGCGACAAATATTTCCGTCGTTAAATTTGTCGCTAACAAATTATCAATTTTGTCATCCGCCATGCGTCGCTATTTTCGTAGGCAAATTAAGGCGCCAAATTTTAGAGCCCAATTTTACCGACACATTTCAATTTTTGTCGCTAATCCGTCACTATTGAAGATCCCAATATTTCCTTTGATATTCTAGCAACCAAATTAGTTTTCCGTAGCTAATCCGTCGTTAGTTAGTGACAGAATATTGTTTGTCGCTGAAATTTGTCGCTAAATGCTGTTATTTTTGTAGTGTTTTCTGTTAGAATTAATAAATCTTTTATAATATTCTATTGATATAATCTTTAATTAAATAAGCACATTCAATTATTAAAAATAAACAGTCTTAATCATTGAGTGTTTAAATCTAAAGTGCATATCTTAACAAACCCGAAAAACTACAATATTCTTAATAAATACTATCTAATAGCATTCATACAACTTAATATCCATTTTAAGACGAAAATACCCCAATCCTTCAACAGCATCAGTACTAAATGTTACAACACCTCTAGCCATAAAAAAATCTCCTGTCCCTCCAACAATACTAAGATCTCTAGTTTTTTGTTCAATAATATCTGCCCCCATTATATTTAATGTACCACAATATTCACTTGAATTAAAAATCAAAGTATAAGCAAACCATGCATTATACTTACTCTTCATGTTATATAAATAAAATCCTTGAGCTCGCGCAACAGGTGTTGACATCAAATTTTGATCTATTGTTATTGGATCGTCGAATACTACTAACATCCCAAAATTGTAATCTCCTAGGACGTTATTAAGAGGGTTTGAGACATTTGCAGATGTAGCGTTTGCAGAATTTGTTACGTTGAAAAGGATATCATGGTAATAGAGAACGAGTCGTTTGCATGGTTTTTCAGGTTTTAGGGTTATAGAATTGGCTATGAGAAGAAAAGTAGTGAGTATAATAATAAAAAGGATGTTGAAATAATAATATGATTTCTCCATGGTTTAATTGTTGAGAGATTTAAGTGATTTTGTTCAAGTTTATATAGTGGAAATTAAAAATTATGATGTTGTTATATTTAGTGATATGAAGAATATACTTTAGTAGCTTAGTTCAATATTTGGAGAAAACTTTATTTGTTTGTTTCAATGGAAGACAAATAAGTTTTTTTTTTGCTTTCCACCCAATATCCTGTAGTTCGGACTAAATTCAGATTTGCACCGGAAAGTTTCATATTAGAGGTAGAGCGTTTCTTAACAAACACGATTTTGTACTCACAGGGACTCAACTTGAAATTTCTGATTAAAGATGAAGAAGTACTTACCACTCCACCAGAACCCTGGTTGGGGTAATACAAATTAGTTAAGTTGCAAGAACACTTCTTTTAGATTATATGTCTAGTAAATTAACAATCCGACTTGTTTTATTTAGTGTTTCCATACTTGAAAATCTTGTAATTATGTTAATAAAATATGAACCCTTTCAACAAATAAGACAAAGCTGCAGGGTTGATTATTTTACAAAAAATGAGGGTGTTTATTACCTACCACATTGTTGATGCTAAACTAAGATTTTATGAATGGGCATATTCCCTCTTCATTTATCAATTTTTATTTCTATATTTGGGGTTGTATGACTTGTTCAGTTTACAGACTTCGAATTCGAGTTTTGAAAATAAAAAAGCTCATAATAAAAAATATTTTCTCTTTACGAATTCTACACAATGTGAATTTAAATTAGTAGAGCCTTTGACTTCAAAATATCACATTTTATAGACCCTACGTGGCATGAACATGGAGCAAAATTTTCACCGATCGTTCTTTTTGCCAGGATTTAGTTATTTAATAAATGACCCACACATTCACCAAGAAAAACGACTATTACAACAACACCAATAATAAATTAATAATCATAACAATAGCGTCTAAAATTACTATCATCAACAATAACAATAATAATAACAGCAATAACGTCTAAAATTATTATCAGCATTAGTAAAGTTTATTATCGACACATAGTTAAAAATAAACTTCACCCTTCAATGAAATTTATGCCGTGACTTGTGTGAATCAAACTACTAATCAAACAATAAATTTCAGATACCAAATAATTATATCAAAATAAAACTCCATATATCAGATAGAATTCTTCTAATCTTTAACCAACAATATATCTTTCAACACAAAGAAAGAAACAATCAATAACCCCCCCCCCACCCCCCCTCCTTCCCACCACCCCACACATTCACCAAATAATAAAAAAAAAAACAACAATAACATAGTAACGTCTAAAATTATTACCAGCACTCGTAAAGTTTAATATCGACTCGTAATCGAAAATAAACTTCACCCTCAAAGGAATCAGTCATGATAGTAGCAATTCCTCTAGTCATGAAGAAATCACCAGTTCCACCAATAACAGAAATATCTCTAGTTTTATTCATAATTGGATCAGCTCCAGCAAAATTAATATTCCCTTTATGTTGAGTTGAATTAAAAACAAATGAAAACCCTAACCATGAAGTAAATATTTCTTTTTTATCATAAATATAAAAACCTTGTGCTCTTCCAACTGGATTTGAATGAATATTATTATCCAAAGTAATTGGATCATCAAATACAATTAAATCTCCAAAATTATTTTGTCCAGCTAATTTTGTAAGATTTCCCCATGCTGGAGCTCCAACAATAGCTGATGTTGCATTTTTGGCATTTTCACCATTGTATAATATGTCATGGAAGTAAAAACTTAGGGTTTTACAAGGGCGATGTGCGTGAATTTTATTCGACGATTCAACTATAGAGAAGTTTATTATAAGGAGAAGGTAAAATGAAATGGCTATGGAATTTGAAATTTTTGATTCCATTTTTGTTACTTATTATTTTGGTGTGAATTTTATTTTTAAATCTCATCTCTTTATATAAGGATTTTTTTGGGATCCAATTTGTTGTGATGTGATAGTGAATATGGTCCAAAAATTTAAAAACTTGGCTTTTAAGGGATCTCTTATTTCCATGTAGGATAAAATAAGACGTAAATACTAAGACAAATTAAAACGTATGGCAATTATTCTTTTCCCTATCTTCAAGTCTATGTTAGTAGAATCTTTTCTTGGTAGGTAATAACTAACATATATATTCAGAATTTGAAGTTTATAAAATTTTATAGTAGTAGTAGTCGTCCCTCGATCGAGATGGCTCAATTGGCCTTTGGAGGGTGAATAATCTGGGATCGATTACTCTTAGAGGTGATAAATTAGCTCATGAAAACATAATCCGTCCCTTTATTAACTCAACAAATTTCAGTCTAACAATTCATAAAGAACAAGATTGATATGTAGGTGTCAAATCGACTCATGAGAAATTTAGTCAAAATATTTACATAAAACATTTTTTGTATGTTAGGGATATCCTAAATTTTCAAATAATTTATAGTTAATATTGCGTATACTAACTATTCTCTGAATATAATTGCATACTTGCTTTCATCTTCTGAATATATGCATAATATAGAAGTAACAAATAATAATAAGTAAACAAAAATGTGTAGACATAATAATAGTATCATTTGTTTGGTTATGATGTCTAAAGTCTAACATCCATCAATTTTCATGTGACCTATACGACTATAACCATGATCCACTAGTCAATTTTTTAAAATTCCATGTGTACCATTAAGATTTTTATGTCATCAATGTATAAAATCATATTCTAATAGTATTAGTTATGGGGTCATGACCTAATTATAAAGAACTATTATTGGAGCCTTTAAGTCTCCTAATTGGAAACAACAGCTTTTGAAAGGGAAACAAGTTGCACATAACTAGTAAAAAATAGGAATCCAAATCCATTAATTTATGAAAGCTTAAATCTAAAGTTAAAATCAATATAAAATTAGTTAAAAATGAGAATCAAAGTGCTAACCATATTTTAACTCATTATTTAATAATTAAAATCATAGCTTACGTTAGACTTCAATCAAGCCAATAATCACAAAAGAAATCTTAGTATAATTAGGTGAGCCTGCCAACTTGTGTTTTGTCAATTTCACCAACCATTTTTCTAAGAGTTAATTTAAGATATATTTTGGGGCAAAAACAAAAGTTGGTTAACTTAAAATTTATAATTTAAGGATTATTTTTGGATCAAACTATTACACTTTGTTTGAATGGTTGTTACGTATTATTTCATAATGTATTGTATTGTATCGAACTATATTGTTTTGATGCATACAATGTTTGGATAGACTGTGTTCTTCATCGTTACACGTATCCATAAATTGAATGATAAGCCTACAAGAAAAGTAAGGTACGAGGTAGAGCTACTATGAAAAGGTAGGATAAAAGATGAAATATAATTATTAAATAATAAATAAAGATAAAATGAGAAGAAAATATTAAGGTAACGAAACGATCACACCAAATTGGTCGTTACATAAAATGGGTCTTTTTGTTGTTACCTAGCGATGGATTTAAATGATACGATACAATAGAATTTAAGTAACAATCAAAACAAAAACGACAAGTAACAACCATGCATCCAAACAAGGTGTTAATTAATTAGCGGTAGGGACATTTTTTAACCAAACTATTGACAACAAAAACATTTTTAGACCAAAGTATTAACTAAAGATATTTTTGTTCATTTTCACATAGTTTAAAGACATTTTTTTTTTCCTTTTTGGATTATTAAATAATGAGTAAACATTCACCTTAAAATTTGTGGGCAACTTAAAGAACCTAAAGGATGATTCCATGCTTGGAAAATTAGACATACATTGTAACAATGAGATAAAAATATTTTTGTATTTTTTTTAATCAAAAAGTAATACTTTTCTATTAGAATTAATAAATCTTTTATAATATTCTATTGATATAATCTTTAATTAAATATGCACATTCAAATATTAAAAATAAACAGTCTTAATCATTGAGTGTTCAAATCTAAAGTGCATATCTTAACGAACCCGAAAAAATACAATATTCTTAATAAATACTATCTAATAGCATTCATACAACTTAATATCCATTTTAAGACGAAAATACCCCAATCCTTCAACAGCATCAGTACTAAGTGTTACAACACCTCTAGCCATAAAAAAATCTCCTGTCCCTCCAACAATACTAAGATCTCTAGTTTTTTGTTCAATAATATCTGCCCCCATAATATTTAATGTACCACAATATTCACTTGAATTAAAAACCAAAGTATAAGCAAACCATGCATTATACTTACTCTTCATGTTATATAAATAAAATCCTTGAGCTCGCGCAACAGGTGTTGACATCAAATTTTGATCTATTGTTATTGGATCGTCGAATACTACTAACATCCCAAAATTGAAATCTCCTAGGACGTTATTAAGAGGGTTTGAGACATTTGCAGATGTAGCATTTGCAGAATTTGTTACGTTGAAAAGGATGTCATGATAATAAAGAACGAGTTGTTTGCATGGTTTTTCAGGTTTTAGGGTTTTAGAATTGGCTATGAGAAGAAAAGTAGTAAGTATAATAATAAAAATGATGTTGAAATAATAATATGATTTCTCCATGGTTTAATATTGAGAGATTTAAGTGATTTTGTTCAAGTTTATATAGTGGAAATTAAAAGATTATGATGTTGTTATATTTAGTGATATGAAGAATATACTTTAGTAGCTTAGTTCAATATTTGGAGAAAACTTTATTTGTTTGTTTCAATGGAAGACAAATAAGTTTTTTTTTGCTTTCCACCCAATATCCTGTAGGTCGGACTAAATTCGGATTTGCACTGGAAAGTTTCATATATTAGGTAGAGCGTTTCTTAACAAACACGATTTTGTACTCACAGGGACTCAACTTGAAATTTCTGGTTAAAGATGAAGAAGTACTTACCACTCCACCAGAACCCTGGTTGGGGTAAGACAAATTAGTTAAGTTGCGAGAACGCTTCTTTTAGATTATATGTCTAGTAAATTAACAATCCGACTTGTTTTATTTAGTGTTTCCATACTTGAAAATCTTGTAATTATGTTAATAAAATATGAACCCTTTCAACAAATAAGACAAAGCTGCAGGGCTGATTATTTTACAAAAAATGAGGGTGTTTATTACCTACCACATTGTTGATGCTAAACTAAGATTTTAGGAGTGGGCATATTCCCTCTTCATTCATCAATTTTTATTTCTATATTTGGGGTTGTATGACTTGCTCAATTTACGGACTTCGAGTTCGAGTTTTGAAAGAAAAAAAACTCATAATAAGAAGTATTTTCTCTTTACGAGTCCTACACAATGCGAATTTGAATTAGTAGAGCCTTTGACTTCAAAATATCACCTTTCATAGGCCCTACGTGGCATGAACATGGAGCAATTTTTTCGCCGATCACTTTTTGCCGAGATAGTTATTTAATAAAGAGAAAATTATGCAGTTAAGCAAACTTAGAGCATGTTTGGATGGGCTTTTAAGCTGGTCAAATTGGCTTTTAAGCCAATTTTTGACTTATTAGAGTGTTTGACAATTATCAAAGTGACTTATTTTAAGTCAAAAATGACTTATTTTAAGCCAAAAGCTAAAAGCTAGGGGAGGGGAGCTTTTTTTTTTTTAACTTAAAAACCCTTTTATGTTGACCAAGTATATTACCTTTTTGCCCTTAATTCTTTTATACAATTTCCAAATTGCCCATATTGAATTATTATTATTTTATTATTATTATTATATTTTTTTTTAACTATTATTATTATTTTATTTTATTATTATATATTTTTTATTTTATTATTATCATTATTATTATTATTATTATTTTATTATTATCATTATTATTTTATTTTTTTTAATTATTATTTTATTATTATCATTATTATTATTATTTTATTATTATATTATTATTATTATTATTATTATTCCTCTTATAAATAATTTGTGGTGGTAAAGAAATATGTGATATTTTATTATTATTATTATTTTATTATATTATTATATTATTATATCATTATTTTTTTTTTTTATTATTATTATTTTATTATATTATTATATTATTATTATATTATTATTATTATTATTATTTTATTATTTTATTATATTATTATTATTCCTCTTATAAATAATTTGTGGTGGTAAAGAAATATGTGAATGATAGGAAAATATTATTACTTATGGATAAATATAAATTAATTTTGTTTTAATTTTTTTTAAAGTATAAAAACCTTAAATTAATCAACATTTCATCATGTTAACAACTTAAAGGGTATTTCAGACATTTTGATAAAAAAAGTGTTTACCAACACTTATTTGCCAAACACATCAACAACTTTTTTTTCAACTGCAACACTTTTATCCAAACACATAACTATTTATTTTAAAAATAAGTTCCAGTACTTTGAAAAGTTACTTTTTTTAAGTCAATCCAAACGGGCTCTTATACTACTTAATTACTCATCATAGTTATAGTTTGCTATAATTACCACTCTCTACCCTCTCTCGCTCGCCTCTCTCCTCCCTCTCCCAATCTCACTCGCCATATATACAAATGCATATGTATAATATACAATTATCTAACCGATATGCATATACAATTCACCTCTCTCCCACTCTCTGCCCTCTCTCGCTCGCCTCTCTCCTCCCTCTCCCAATCTCGCTTGTCATATATACAAATACATATGTATAATATACAATTATCTAACCGATATACATATACAATTCACCTTTCTCCCACTTTTTTCCCTCTCTCTCGCCTCTCTCCTCCCTATAACATGTAGCTACGAATTGTAATTATCAAACTATAGCTATGGAGAGTAATTAGGTTATTTTTGAGTGGCTATATGTGAAAGTTGCTCTTTAATATTTACCTCTTTACTGTTCTTGCAAACTTATGGACTTCTAAGATTAC